TCAAACAAGACTCCACACTTTCGCTAGTGTGCAATGATCATCACAAGAGAATCGATTTGATCAATAGTTAATCACAACGAGATGCAAAGAGTTCACATATTGTCTATGCAACTTCATTTGGCCTCATCGTAGTTGTACATTCATGTTCGTTCGATTGAGAGAACTATTCAAGTCATCGGTATTGATTGGAACCGAGACTCAATTTTTTATTGCAAAAGAATAACCACATTCAAGAGCATACAGAGGGTGGCAAAAATGTGCAAAAAATTCAAAAAAAAATCGGAATGGTCAAAATCATTTTGCAATTTAAAATAAAAGGAGCTTATAAAAGGAGCCATAATCTCAAACAACATCCACAAAAAAGCAGTATTTAACACAATTTTAAACAGAATAGCCCAAATATAAACAAATACTAACATCAAATAGCACACAAATGTGGGCCTCACCCCACCACACATAAAAGCAATTTGTCTTCAAATGCAATTAACACAGAATATCTAGACTTTAAAATAGAGATGGCCAGAGAGGGAGGTAGAGAAAAATCCTATCTACACAGTCACTCCATCTGCCTGGGTATCAGTGCCCGATGTGTCAGCCTGGAACTTGATAATGGCCCCCAGAGCTTCTTCAGAAGATTAAGCTACATCTGACTTACTAAGATTGTCCAAGTCATGAGCCGCCAGAAAGGAGTGGATAACTGTGAATAATCAGCATCTCCATGAGGGAATAGTGGGGTCTTGGGGATTTGTTATCTTGTTGGCACTAGGCTTCTTGTCCTCATTATCCGTTTTGGGAGTATTTGTTGCCTTTGTATTTTTCCTGAAATTCTTCGCTCTTGTTTGTCGGCGTGGCATCTCTTCCAGCTACTTTCGGTTTAGCCATTTCAGCAAAGCTTCAAGAAAAAGTTAGAAAGTCTTCAGACAAAAGCAAGGCAGTTCTAATGCATAATTACTTTGTTGAACAAGTTGGCAAAGTGCGCAGCTACTTCGGCGGTTCGCCGAGTGTAGTGCATAGAGAATACAAGGGCGAACAAGAAGTCTTTCGACGAGTCACCGAATGCTTTTGGCGATCAAAGACTTCTTGCCGAAAGTTACAGAACTAAACAATACATATGGCATTAAAATAGCAGTGAACTGTGGATGTTAGGCTAACCGCCGAGCGGTTTGGCGAGCTCGACTTAACTCGCCAAATGGCCCACATGCCTAATTTCAACCCATCTTCTTGAATCCAACCCTGCAACCCCCGAAAACATAATTAAGGCATGCACAACTCAAATTAGGCTTAAACCCAGTGACAATCATGCACAACCCACGATTTTCATCAAATTTAAAGCGCAACTTTCAAGAATTAACTATTTAACTTAGTACGGGCAAAATTTGCGAACCTAATATGGAAACAAATATTCTAATCCTACCAGATAGGCCCAGCACACATCATCAAAGTAATGCCATTTCATTTGAGTACAACGTTCAATACAAGAAGCTTAGGGCATGGAGCCAACCTTTGGTGCCGATTAAAAGAAGATTGAAATACTAGGCGGCAATGTAATACAACTTCAAGCATAAATCAACACAAACAATATTCTAAAAATGCAAAAATATAGGAATTAACGTTTGGGTGTGAGTTTGGATAGATACAATGTGAGGGAGAGTGAATGAAGTTGAAATGTTTAAACCTTTGGCTTGCAAAAATCGTCCAGTTTTTTCCCATTCGGCGACATTAGTCAAGCTCGCCTACTCACTCGGTGGAACGTCGACTGTTTAGCTTCTTCGCTAAAATTTAGAGGACCTCTGGTTTAGGGAGGGTCCAAACGGCGATTTCCATCGTGATCGCCGACATGGTCAACGACTCACCAATAATTTCCAAAGCTCGCTAAGTTTTACAGACTCCAATGTTCACGATGTCTTGAGTCAAACGGCAGACAAGGTTGGATTCGCCGACCCCTTCAACGACTCGCCGACTGGATCTATTGCTTGTCATCTTTCACTTTTTCAAACACTTCTCATACTTTCAGATGTACAAACAACACACCATTAATTTTTTATTTATAAAAGGGGTTTTGGGTTACCTCTCAAACAACGTCTTAGTTAACGTCGCGGCACAATGCAACATCGCCTTCAGGCGTCTTCCAAATACACCACCTCAACCAAATAAATCTCTTGACAATCCCCAAATTATAATATCAGACATTCACCGTTTACTTTAAATGGATGTCCTTCCTGATCTTCAACTTCTATTGCACCTTTGGTGAACACTCACGTTACTCTAAAAGGTCCAGACCATTTGGATTTGAGCTTTCAGGGAAAGAGTCTAAGTCGAGAGTTGTATAACAAAACCCAATCTCCTACCTTGAAGTCCCACTTGAGTATTCGAGCATCATGCCATTTTTTTATCTTCTCTTTGTAGATGGCTGAACTTTCATACGATCTGAGTCTAAATTCATCCAGTTCGTTCAACTACTCTACCCTCTCCCTTAATGTTTTTGACCAGTCCAAATTTAAAGCTTCAATGCCCACAATGCTTTGCGTTCTAACTTGACGGCAAATGGCAAGCCTTACCATAAACCAACTGATATGGAGACGTACCGATAGGTGTTTTGTCAGCGGTCTGATATGCCCATAGTGCATCATCGAGTTTCCTAGACCAGTCAGTTCTATTGACATTGATTATTTTTGCCAAAATGATTTTGATTTCCCGATTTGACACTTCGACTTGGCTAATTGTTTGGGGATGATATGAGGTTGCTACTTTGTGTTTCACCCCATATTTGTGCAGTGCCATTGAAAACTACCTATTGCAAAAGTGGGACCCCCCATCACTAATGATTGCCCTCGGAGTGCCAAATCTTGCAAAGATGTAGCGTTTCAGAAATTGGACAACACTTTTCCTTCGTTGTTTCGAAGTGTGATGGCTTCCACCCATTTGGAAATATAATCTACAACCACCAAGATATAATTATTTCCAAATGAGCTCACAAATGGACCCATGAAATTGATCCCCCATACATCGAATAGCTCGACCTCTAAAATAGGAGTGAGGGGTAATTCGTGTCTTCTAGACACTCCGTCGTGCTGCTGACATTGAGACCATTTCTTCGCAAACTCATGTGCATCCTTGTAGAGGGACAACCAGTAATAACCAGTCTGGAGAACTTTAGCGGCGGTGCGAATACTACCATGGTGACCTCCCACTGGAGATGTATAACAATCATGGAGAATTTCTACCGCTTTTTCTTCCAGAACACACCTTCGAATGACATGGTCAGCACACTCTCGAAACAAGTATGGTTCATCCCAAAAGTACTTTTTAACATCGAACATGAACCTCTTTTGTTGGTAAAAGGTCAACTCATCCGGCATCAGCCCACACACAATGTAATTTGCAAAATCTGCACACCATGGCGTATGTTTGAGATATATTGCAAACACATGTTCATCGAGGAAGGAGTCGTCTATGTCTGCTTCATGCCCAACATTTTCCCTTACTTCCAACCTTGATAAGTGATCAGCCACTTGATTTTTGCATCATTTTTTATCTTTTACCTCAAAATCGAATTCTTGTAATAGCAGCACCCACCTTATCAATCTTGGTTTTGCATCTTTCTTTTATCAAGTAACGGAGTGCAGCATGATCAGTATGTACGATTACTTTGGTGCCTAGCAAGTATGTCCGAAACTTTTCAAATGCATAGACTACTGCAAGCAATTCTTGTTCAGTGACCGTATAATTTTGCTGGGCACTATTTAGAGTCTTACTTGTATAATAAATTGGGTGAAATAGTTTGTTGCTCTTTTGCCCCAACACGACCCCTAATGCCATACCGCTAGCATAACACATTAATTCAAAAGATTCGGACCAATTAGGGCTGATGATAATCGATGTGGATACTAGTTTCTCTTTCAAACACTGAAATGCAGCCATACAAGCATCATTAAAATAGAATTTCTCTTCCTTCTCAAAGAGTTTGCATAATGGGTGTGCAATCTTTGAGAAGTCTTTAATGAACCTTCGATAGAGCCCTGCATGCCCCAAGAAGCTGCGAATACCCTTCACTAAAATTGGTGGGGGTAATTTCTCAATGACTTCAATTTTGCCTTGTCAACTTCAAACCCCTTTTGCGACACCTTGTGCCCAAGAACGATACCTTATTTCACCATAAAGTGACATTTCTCCCAATTCAGAACTAGATTCATTTCCACGTATCTTTGGAGTACCTGCCCTAAGTGTGTCAAGCATTCTTCAAACGTATCCCCTACGATTGAGAAGTTGTCCATGAATACCTCCATAAAGTCTTCGACCATATACGCAAAAATAGATAACATGCAACACTGAAATGTTGGGGCATTACATAGCCTGAATAGCATCTGTTTGAATGAAAATGTTCCATAAGGGTAAGTAAAGGTAGTTTTCTCTTGGTCTTTCGGTGCAATAAAGATTTGATTGTAACCGGAGTACCTATCCAAGAAACAATACCACCCTCTTTCTGATAACCGGTCAAGCATCTGGTCCATAAACGGCATTGGAAAATGGACTTTCTTGGTCCATGAGTTAAGCTTTCGATAGTCCATGCATACTCTCCACCCAGTCACTGGTCTAGTCGGCACAAGTTCTCCTTTTGCATTTAGAACTACAGTTATACCTCCTTTTTTTGGTACACATTGCACCAAACTTACCCACTTACTATCTGCAATATGGTAGATTACTCCCGCATCTAGCCACTTGATGATCTCCTTTTTCACCACCTATTGCATTTGAGGGTTCAATCTCCGTTGATGCTCCACAATAGGTTTACATTCACTATCGAGCCGAATCTTGTTAGTACAGATGCTAGGAACAATTCCTACTATATCGTCTATTGTCCATCCAATAGCTTTTATATGCCTCTGTAGTACCTCAATGAGCAATTTCACCTGCCTTTCAAGCATGTCGGCTGCGATAATCACTGGTAAAGTATTATTGGCTCCTAAGAAGGCATATTTTAGATGAGAGGGTAGGGTTTTTTACTCCAGATTCGGTGGTTCTTCTGTTGATGGCTTTGCAGGAGGACTTTCTCTGTTCTTCGGGTCGATATTCAACTTGATTGGATTCCTTGAATATACTCTTAGCCCAGTTATGGAAGCTACCACTTCCTCATAGCCTTGAACTTCAAATTCATCATAATTGGCAAGTACAGATTCAAGGGGTTCATTCTTGCGCATTAAATGGCTCACAATTGCCACTGCCCCATCTATAACATCCTCAGTAGACACCACATGGATATTACTTGGTTGTTTCATGCATTTATAGATATTGAAGGTCATTTCATCATCGTTCACATGAAACTTCAATTTCCCACTTTCGACATCCACCAATCCTCTCTCGGTGGCTAAGAATGGCCTTCCCAAAATAATGGGAATTTCCGTATCGATCTCACAATCTAGAATCACAAAATCAGCTGGAAAGATGAACCAATCTACTTTTATTAATATGTCATAGAGTATCCCCACTGGGTGCTTGATTGATCCATTAGCCATAAGGAGTCTCATTGTGGTTACCTTTGGTTCACCCAAACCAAGTTGCTTGCATATTGCATAGGGCATCAAGTTAATGCTTGCTCCTAAATCGCACAAAGCTTTAGCGAATTGGAGCATGCCAATTGTGCATAGGATTGTGAATGCCCCAGGGTCTTCTCTCTTAGTGATTGACTCATTTGTCACAATTGCACTGCAACTATAGGGGACCTCAATCGTTTCATAGTCCAAGCTCTTTTTCTTTGTAACCAGCTCTTTCATGAATTTGGCGTATCCCGGCATTTCCAACAATGCTTCCACCAGAGGAAGTTTAATTGATAAGTTCTAGAATACTGACAAAAAAAATTTGAACTTCTCATCTTCATTTTTCTTTTTCAAACGTTGAGGAAATGGTGGATTTTGGGTAAAGGGTGCATGACTTTTGGAACCTGAACATGTTGCTCTGCATCCTCATGTGGTTCTTTGGCAAGGTTTTGTGGAATAGGAAATTCTCGTTCCTCTATACCTTGGCTCTCTTCTTGCATTCGAGGGTCCTCATCCTCCATCACATTCCCTTTTGCCATCTTTCCACTCCAGGTAACTATAGCCAACCCTCTTTCATTATCTTCCATCAGTGTCCTGGATGTTAATTGAGCTAATAATAGACTCAATTAACCTTCTAGAGTTTTGATGGCATCAGCATGAGAATTCATTTTACTGTTTAATGATGAAAAGTCATCTCTCGTCCCTTTTAGCAAATCAACAGAGCCCTCAACTTTATCAAGTATGCGTAACAATAGATCATCTACCCGAGGACTACTTGCACTCCCTTCTGATTTCGGGCTTTCACTCAACTTAGTATGGTCATCTTGTTCAGCCCAATCGTGACAATATCTCCTTGGTTCTTCACTTATATACTAGTTCCAACCTTGATTTCCGCCCCGCTATTGATAGCGTGGGTAGAAACCTTTCTCATATCTTGTGGAGTTCAAACCTTGGTTCTCCCCCGATCTTAAGTAACCAGAACCCTCCTCAACTCGAAATACTCCATACGTCCCCTTCATGCGCTCTTGTATCACTTCCATTTGAGACAATATTTTTTGATGTTTTCGTCCCTCTCCCTTTCTTTAACAAGTTGTTCTTGCATTAATCTGAAGCATAGTGGGGAAACTTGGTCATCTTTTGTGTACCATGCTTTATTTACTCTAGTCATGTCATCTAGGAGGAATGAGGCTAGTTCAAATGATTGTAAGATTATTCCTCCTTGCACCAATTGGGGAGCTATTCCTTTTTTAACCGAGTCCAGACTACGATAAAAGTATTGGAGCAACAAATCACCTGGCAATCCATGCGTTGGGCACTTATGCAATAATTTATTGAACCTTGTCCATGATGCGTGAATTGGTTCACCCTCATTTTGCTTGAAATTCTGAATGTCGTCTCTCAGTTTCATCTTTCTTGATGGAGGAAAGAATCTTTCATGAAAGGCCATAACCAGCTCCTCCCATGATTTGATGGAGTTGTTTGGAAGCTCGGCCAACCATTTAGTAGCTCCCCCGGTCAATGATAATGGAAATAGGTGAAGCCGTATAGATTCTTGAGATAGATTCTTGAACAATAAAGGGGTGCACACTTCCACAAAGCTCGTATATGTTCGTGCAGATCTTCATGCTCTAACCCTCCAAATAAACCTCTTGAATGTATGAGCTAGAGTGTTGTGCTAGTAACTTCGAACATTGTGTTTCTGTCGGCTTATGGCATGCAAATTGCACCCATCTCGCCAAATATAAGCAGGGTTGTAAACACTCTTAACATCATCGATGTCGTCTCGATCAAAAGCACCACCCACTGGGTCACCTGCTTGGCAGTTATTTTTCCTGTGCACTCATATGTCCTGTTGTGACACACAAATACTCAAAACCAAACTGAAGATTAAGTGAGTAAACTAAAACTAAGAAGAACAAAAATTCTACTAATCTAAAAATTCTCAAATAACACCACTCCCCGGCAGCGGCGTCATTTTGATGTTTGCGTAATCAAGATACAACTTCTTATGCAAGTGTCTACGATCGTACAATAGTTTAATAACTCAACCAAAGGTTGGGATCGTTCCCAAGAGATTGGTTTTGAGAATTAATAGAAAAATAAAACTTAATTCTAAATAGTTGTAGCTAAAGACATTAACGATTAAAAACATTATAAATTATAAAGGGACACAATAGTGTCAATTAACAATGGGGTTTTTTGTCACAAGTAGTTAAAAAAATAGGAAAATAAACAAGGGTTCCTAGGTAATGATAGGAGATCCTTGGGATGTGACGGGAATACGAGTTAAGCTAGATTATTAGGTACATGCTTTCCATAAAAGATTCATAGAGTAATTGTGACTAGGCTAGACTTTAAGGGGGTTAAGCTCTCTCTCGAGTAACTTACCCCGTTTCAAATGTGTTCCTCTCGAACACCCACTTACCGCATGAAGACCAGCCTACGTCTTAACCCACTCACTCTCTCGAACTGAGTGTGTGGATATGGTACTAGGGTTCACTCTCTTGAGCTGAACCTCATGTCGACCCACTCACACTGGCCATCAATCTAGTGGTCTTAGTTTTACGACCTCTCTCTCGAGAAAGCCGAAAACACATAAATAAACTTGTATTTGCAACTAAAAATTCATTCAATTGATCCACAACCACTAAACAAAACTACAATTAAACTATCAGCAAACAAGACACAACAATTATCTTAACCCATATTTACTAAATCACACCCCAAGAATTGGGATTTTTAGCCACACATCAAGAGATAGAAATTTATACCTAAATGAGTTTGCATTCAAATGGGTATGAAGATTTAAGTCTTGTTACATGCCAAGAATGAAGAATCCAAAAGACCCAAGTCCAATTCCTTGGAGATGAAACCCTCTTTTTCTTCAAGTCTTCAAAACCCTCTCAAACTCAGAGCAAAAATACTAAAAGGAACTATTATATATGAAAATTATAATTGTTTGACCCTTAAAACTACAACTCTAACTAGTATCTATAGTTTTCACAGATTTGTGCTGCTGCGGATCATTCGGCGTCGTTAGTCAGAATCGCCGATCAACTCGGCGATTCACCCTTTGGTGTAGTTCATCGCCATCTTGCACCAGCCTTTAGCATCGTTATGCTCTAGGTCATTAGGCAACATGGTACTACTTCACGGAACTTCTCGACAATGCGTCGACTGCTCCCTATCTCCACTGACTTGATCCTTTCCTTCAGGACACAGCACACTGGAACAAAAGGCAAAGTAGGACCTTTCGGTGACTCGCCAAGTGAACTCGGTGATCCTCAAGCCTTCATTTCTTGGTTCTTCTTAGCCTTTTCGTTCCTTTTTGTGACGTAGTGTCCATTCTTTCCTTCAAAGATCAAATACCTGAAACTTAAGGGTTTTCATCAGTTATTGAGATAAAAATAAGCATTTGAGGACACAATTTCAATTAAAATATAGCCCTAAATGAGTCCAATTTGTGGACCCATCAAGGGCTTCATAAGGAGCAATCTAAATACTAGCTTGGAAGTTGTTATTATAAGCGAATTCAAAAAGAGGTAGATGTTGATCCCAACTTTATTTAAAATCCAACATGCAACCTGTAACATATCCTTAACAATCCAAATAGAATGCTCTGTCTGACTATCAGTTTATGGATGAAAACTGGTTCTAAGATTTACTTGAGCGCCTAGACCCTTCTAAAATGATCTTAAAAAATGTGTTGTATGTTAAGCCCTGTGATCCGAGATAAAAGATAGTGGAACTATGTGATGGAGAATGATTTTTTCATTGTAAAGTCTAGTGATGAGTCTGAGATTTGGACTCATTTAGGGCTTTGTGTTGATAAATTTAGTATCCTCAAATGCTTAATTTATGCTATAAACTAATGTTTAAGCCCTGATTTTCAGGTATGTGGATTGAGGAGCAAAGCAAGGACACTAACAGGCAAAAAGGAACAAAATAAACTAAAGAATTGGAGAAAGGCGAGCCTGATGATCACCAAGAGAAATTGGCGAATCACCGAGTGGCCATTCAGTCCCCCTAAAGTTCCAGTGTGCCATCCCTAAGGAAAGAAACTAAGTAGGCGATAAGAAAAGGGCAGTCGCTGAGTTGCCGATCAATTTTGCGAGGACAGGATTGATCACCCAAATTTACAGGACTTGAGGATGCTGAGAGCCAATGAAAAAAGGCGATAGAAGGAGCAAAGGGCGGTTTGCCAAACCACTCAGCGAACCTGACTTACCTCACCTAATGGCCCTTTTTTGGCTTAATTTTTGGCGACTATAAATTAGATTTTAAATTGTTAATTGAGTAGTTTTCTTTTGAGTCTAGAGTTTTTCTTTTGAGTTTGGGATTTTTCTTAGTAAACCAGAAGGCTTTTTTGGACTTAATTCAGCGATTTTGCAAGTGGGTTAGTAATTTTCTGCAATTTGAAGCATTGTAAAGGCTTGAATACTCTTACCTAGTTGATGACTAATCGATTTCGTAATCGTTTTTACCTTTTTATGATGTTTGGATAAAATCCCAATTCTTGGGATGTTATCATGTGATTATGGGTTGAATTAGTTTATGGGTATTGTTAATTACTAGTTTAAATGATATGTTAAAGTGGGTTTAATCATTAGTTGAGGTTTAATTTATGAATTGTAGTTGCAAATGCAGTTCTAATTTGGTGTTCTTGACTTGCTCGAGAGAGAAGTTTTGTAACTAAGGTTTTTGATTAATGATTTATATGTATTGAGTTGATATGGGTTTATCTCGAGAGAGTGAATCCTAAACCCAATCCTACCCATCAGGTTCGAGAGAGTGGATGAATTAAGGTGTGGGTTGTTCTTAATTGATATGCTTGTTGATGTTCGAAAGAATTCATCTGATTCGGTGTAGTTATTCAAGAGAAAGTTATCTCCCTTATAGTCTAGCCTACCCACTGATATTTAGATGTTTATTAGTAATTTCAATTACCCATATATCGAAATTTACCTATAATAGATCACATCACGAGAATTTTTCTCCGTATTGTTATTTTAGTTTTTATGTGACTTTGTTGTAGTTGATAATTGCAAACAAAAACCCCCATTTGACATTCGTGTCACCCTTTTTGATTTGTTTCATGTCTTTTTCTATAATTTCTATTCTTATACCTAGTTAGATTACATTGTACTTCTTAATTGAATTTGAACACGTACCGCTCCCTGTGTGATTCGACCCCAACTCATTGGTTGTGCTTTATACCATTTAATGATTGTTTGCACCTACAATTGGATTAGGTTTGTTTGAAACGTTAATAAAAAATGACGTCGCTGCAGGGGAGTGGTGTTGTTTAAAATTCTTTTAGTGAAGTTGAATTGTGATCTTTCAAGTTATAGTTATATCTACTTACTTTAGTTTTGGTTTTGTGTTGCTTGTGTTGAACAAGGAAGAGATGAGCGTAAACGGGAGCAATGATAGCCAAGTGGGCCACCAAGACGATATTGGGAACCTCAATGATGTAAATAACCCAAATGTGAATGACCCAATTCCATTGGCTGGTGTGGGTGCAATACACCTGCCTTTAATTGAAGGGAATGTAGTCTTCCATGTCACTAGAACAATGTTGCATCTC